GCTGTGCCATTTAGGGCCCAACGCCCTACCTAATTATTAGTAATAAATTTTTATTTTTGTACAAAATAATCTGGTTAATCATGGTACAGATTGTCATATTATTAACAAGGTTTACCCCTCAATTCTTTTTTATTGATGACTATTCATTTTATCAAGATTTTGATCCATTATTTTATTTTTTTTTCCTGATCATGATTCAACATTAGAAGTATATTGTTCTTATTTGATAATAATTTACAAAATTATTCTGATGTACTTTGCCATACCATTAAATTGATGTTTTGCCAAGTTCTATCATTATTAACAAAATTTTCTTTCTTCCAATATCCCTGGAGTTGAGTGCACATTATTTTGTTACAAAAAAATTATTGGTTTCTATGATAAAGTTTGCTATGTCATACTTCAGTATATGTTTAAATGTTAGGTTCCATCCTAATGAGTACAATTACAGGTCATATATGTAGACACAAATGAGTTTCGAAATTTTTTTAAGTAAATAATTTTTGTAAAATTTAATATATATATTTTTTTGGACTTTAAACAATCAATTAGTCTTTTATAGACTTTGTATACTTTTATTTAAAGACTTCTAGAGAATCAATTTGATTTTTAACTTTTATTTTAGAATAAAAAAATCTTGTATATAATTTGTCTTTATAACTTATTGTATCTGAGTATATCCCTGTTTTATTGAATTATTTATTTATACGTTACAATTTACTTGTACGATCAAATGATCCTGAACACAGTCACAAAATTATATTTCTTATGTCGATAAAAATATTTTTCTAAAAGAATAAAAAATAGGCCAATAAACTAAGAAAATAAAAAAAAAATTATAGCATTTCAATACTATTTGATGAAAAGAAAAAATATCTAATGTTCAATATTATCAATATGTCCAAACTTATAGAAAATTATTACATTAAACAAATAATTGATATATGAAATTTTAATTAAAATTTGATTTTTTTCCCATAGAAAAATTGGAGAGAGAGAAACTAGGCCTGAGCATTTTAATCAAAATTAGAGATTTCGATCCAGTTCCAAAAAGTTAAATAAGGAATCAAAATTGAGAATTGAGAACTCGACTGGTTTCTTGATTCTTGAACCAAAATCGTGGGTACCTGAATGTAATCGATTTTTATGATTTTTTATGTACAATTTATAGACTAGGTAAAAAAGTACAGAACTGAAAATCCTAATTTGGGTAGTAATTTTTCTATTACTTTAGACTAACCATAGGAAATTAAAATTGGCTTCCACTCCCGCCCCGCCTCTAGTTGCATTTCAGAGGTTAGTACATATTAATTTTTTGCAATTTGGACTTCCTATGAATCAAAAAGTTCAAACTAGATTGTGGTGTGAGTTGATGAATCCAAACTTTCTTTCTTTACAATTCGAGTTTTTTTATTTTCTTACATTGTTTACAAATTGAAAGTGATTTTTTTTTTTTATATAACGCATGACAATTGAACTTGATTTATTCATAGTTTGGACTGTGGTGTACCTTTTTGGTTATGTTGAATTCGTGGTTCTCTTTTAAAATATAATTTTTATTATTATTCAAATAAAACGAGTTCAATATGTGGAATGTAATTTCTTGATGCTACATAGTTATGTATTTCATTAGTATTTTTTTTAATCTTAGTTCATTTTAAGAGTAGAAGTAGGGATGCAAATGAGTCGGGTTGAGCTGGCTTGCAAGCCAAAGCTCGATAGAAAAATTGAGGCTTGGATTAAGCCGAGTAGGCTCAATTTCTTTTCGTTATTTAAGACAAGCGGCAAGCAGCTGTCTGGGACTGCGTTTCGGCCAGCCATGCAGGTTGCCCTGTGGCTCGTCGAACCACACATGCCGACTCGAGCTTGGGCCATCATTCGGAAAAGAGGCTCAGTCTGAACCTTGACTCGATTCCATTGAACAACAAGCTAAGTTGACACAAGCTTTTTACTGGCCGGGCCATGGGTCGCTCGAGTTGACGCAACGGATTGGCAACTCTAAGTAGAAAAATTTAAGCATTGTCCATAAAATATAGGGGATAGCATGCATCACTTATGGATCAAATAAAATTTATTAATAAAAAATAACTTCTTCTCAAACTGTAATTTAATTTTTAATGTTTTAATTTTATTCTCGTTTTGTGATTTTTAGTTTCGACTATTTTGCTTCTTGAAGATTGTTTAGCTGAATTTTTTTCATTTTACAAATATATTTGAGTAATAGTGTATTGTGTATATGTATTGAAAGGGCTTATTTGAAAATGTTTATTAAGCCCTTGTTTGAGTCTCATTTTTTCAACACTTCATTTTTTCAAATCTCATTTTCAATTACATATTTTTTAATAACAAAATTTACATGTAAATCGAATTTTTTCTTATTTTTCAAACACATATTTTTTAAAAAATCATTATTTTTAAATATATTTTTCCTCAAAATGGGGTTCAAATAAGGACTAAATGTATATATAAAAACATTATAGAAAGAACCAAACGCGAATCAGAACAAAGTGTTCAAATTTGGTTTCATTAATTATAAGAACACTAATGGTTTCATTTGCAATATATTTAAAGTACAATGGATGATTCCGGTATTGAAATATTCGGACCAATCAACCCAACGCCCATGCCTATGAGAAACGATGAAAAGATGAGAGAAAAATCTTATATAAGCCCCTATTTGACACACATTCTTTTAAAATATATTTTTTCAAAACTCATTTTCAACCACACATTCTTGAATAAAATAATATTTTTCATCACATCAATAACTTTTCCTTACTTTTTCATCACATCAATATTTTTCATTTCCCTTTTTTCCAAGGGAAAGTCTTTCAAATTTTGGGGTGAAAGATAGATATTTTGTATTTATACTTTTTGATTAGTTGTGAAGAATTTTTTAAAAGTAAGTGACATTTTAAAAGTAAATGAGTTTTGAAGACTTTTTGGAAAGTCTTAATTTCATATTTGGGGGCTTTTTAAAAGTTTATATATATATTCAATATACTATGCACCGTACTTTTACGAAGTTTTAATTTTTTTTTTTTTTTTGAATTTTTTAGCCTTATTTGCTGGATATTAAAATTAAATTCTTAGTAAATTTTGATAAAAGTTAATAAAATATGTGGTTGAAAAGTTATGAAACTCATAAAATATGTGGTTAAAATTAATTGTTGACTTTGAACTAAGAGCAAATTTCGATTTATCCTGTATGGCCAAGTGAAACTGGATGTCAAAGTTGGCTAAGATCAATCTGTGAAGTCCATCAAAGGAAAGATCAAACTGTAGTGGGAATGTAGAATTTCCTTTTTCCCTAAAATTAGTCCTTTTAATTCAAGAAAAAAATCAGATCACGTCACCTAAGGAAAACATGATTATTCAAAGATCACATGCTAGTTATTTTTTCAAAAGTGTTCGCTGTCAAGAATCATCCACCAACCCTAGAAGAAAAAAAAAACTCAATTTTATTTTTAAAAATGCCAAAAAATTAAATAAAGGAACTCTTGAATCATATCGATATACCTGTTGTCGACTATTACTAGAGGAATAGAATCAGAATATGCATATCCAATCCAGTTATCTGAACAAAAATTGGAGTCGTTAGGAATAATGATGACTCCATGGAATTTAAAAAGTTCAGAAATTTGATAAACGTTCTTTCAAAACTCATTTTCAACAATACATTTTTCAATAAAATAATATTTTTCATCACATCAATAACTTTTCCTTACTTTTTAACCACATATTTCCTATCATATCACTATTTAAAATACATTATTTCCTCAATAATATCCATCAAATACACCAAAAATGTTATTTGTAAATTGATCTATTCATAGAAAAAAAAAATGATGAAAAAGAAGAGAGATAAAAAAGGAAACGAAAATATTGTAAATTGAATAATTATAATAACATTTCAAAAAAAGAAAAATATTATTTTTTTATATCATGGTTCTAGAGTTCATAGAATTTTCATTTCCATTTTTTCCAAGGGAAAGTCTTTCAAATTTTGGGGTGAAAGATAGATATTTTGTATTTATACTTTTTGATTAGTTGTGAAGAATTTTTTAAAAGTGACATTTTAAAAGTAAATGAGTTTTGAAGACTTTTTGGAAAGTCTTAATTTCATATTTGGGGGCTTTTTAAAAGTTTATATATTCAATATACTATGCACCGTACTTTTACGAAGTTTTAATTTTATTTTTTTTTTTGAATTTTTTATCCTTATTTGCTGGATATTAAAATTAAATTTTTAGTAAATTTTGATAAAAATTGATAAAATATGTGGTTGAAAAGTTATGAAATTCATAAAATATGCGGTTAAAATTAATTGATGATTTTGAACTATGACCAAATTTCGATTTATCCTGTATGGCCAAATGAAACTGGATGTCAAAGTTGGCTAAGATCAAACTTTGAAGTCCATCAAAGGAACGATCAAACTGCAGTGGGAATGTAGAATTTCCTTCCTCTTTTTTTCCCTAAAATTAGTCCTTTTAATTCAAGAAAAAAATCAGGTCACGTCACCTAAGGAAAATATTATTATTCAAAGATCACACGCTAGTTATTTTTTCAAAAGTGTTCGCTGTCAAGAATCATCCACCAATCCTAGAAGAAAAAAAAAAACTCGAATTTTATTTTTAAAAATGCCAAAAAACAAAATAAAGAAACGCTTAAATCATATCGATATACCTGTTGTCGACTATTACTAGAGGAATAAAATCAGAATATGCATATCCAATCCAGTTATCTGAACAGAAATTGGAGTCGTTAGGAATAATGAAATTATTTTATTTCCTATTTATTTAGAATTTAATTTTAGGCAAAAACAGCTCATCAGAGATCACAATAAACTCCCATCTTTTTGTATTTATCATTTTCCCATTTTGTGGGTGTGCCTGTGGTTTGTATACACACACAGACACATCCTGGTTCAAATTGTGATTTCTTTCCAATTTCTGGGACCCTTTTTTTTCTTTGTGGAATTTGTGTTAAGAGCAGTGATGTCGATTCCTCAAAGTGGTGAGATTGATGGGTTGGTGATTCCCAACAATTGTTGTGCCAAGAAACGTGAGAAAATCATTATTGATACGGATCCTGGCATTGGTAAGTGTGTGTGATCAATCACGAAGACTTTTAAGTTTTTATACTTGGTAATTTTGTGGTGATTGGGTTAATCTGAATTGGTGCTTGCTTGTGTCTGGTACACTAACAGAATTTTGATTCTGTCGAATTATGTGGATCCTTAATTGGAAACGTGGCTCCCTCGTATGTCTCCTCATTTAAGTCTTTTTCATGAAATTCACCTGTAAAACGTAAAATGTTAATTTTTTGACATTTGAACACTAAATGTGGCACCCTTTTCTGTTCTTTTAGCATCATGTTTTGGGTTCAGATTGGTTTAATTCCATCGACGGGATCTCCACTTTTTCTTCTGATTAATTTTCTTTGTTTCCTAGATAAAGTAAGAAAAATAGAAGGTTTTTGAATCAAAGTATGGGTTGAACTGAGAACCCGAGACCTTTTTTATAGTGGAAACCAGAAAAGATATTACAACCTTAATCAAAAGTAGAATTTTCGTCCGTTGCCATCATAATTTGAGTGATGAGAAGCTAAAATGGTAGAAACATGTTTAAGTAAAAGGAAACCCAAAGGCTATATTTCTAATTTTTTATCGATTGAGCTTCCTCACATCCAAAATGAATTCAATGACTATATACGTAAGAGTGATGCAGTCTTGGTAGAACATGTCTGTAAAGGATGGAGGAGACCAAAACTTACATGTTTTATGGTATTTACTTTAAATCTTCTTGTAGAATTAGCAATAAATTGAACTGAGCGACTTTTTTATGTAGTCAACTTCAAATTTATCTGAGCATTGTACGTAGTTTTATGTTTTTAATGTTATACATATGGAAATCGGCTATTATAAATACTTGGTTTTAGCTCAATAAACAAGTTTTGTTGAGAAAATGGGAGCAGATTCTCTTTTTTCGCCTGAAGAAATGACGGTCAAGTCTGTGTTTTATGACATAGAGGATTTCTATGCATGCAAACACAGAGGAAAAGGCCTTCAGAGCAATTGCATTGCATTTGGATCTAGCATGCTGAAAATGGCCTACTGTGTATTTCCTTTAAGTTGAAGTTACTTGTATAACTGACTGTTAACATGTATGATGAGTTTCTAGATAGTAGATATGAAATGGTTCTACATTTACTTCCTGTCTAAAATACGGGATGCCTGTTCATATGCAGATGATAGCATGGCAATATTAATGGCATTCCAATCTCCAGAGTTAGAGATTTTAGGATTAACAACGATATTCGGTAATGTTGCTACAGAAGATGCCACGAGCAATGCCTTGCTTTTGGTATGTATTTTCCTTCACTCAGTACCTTGTCTTAGGTAGTAATTTCATTTTTTTTTTCTGTACTTGATATTTTTTTTAGATCATGTTCGTGATCATTTACCATTTTAATCTGCAAAAGGATAGTGCGAGATTGCTGGATGTCCAGATGTTCCTGTGGCTGAGGGTAGTCATGAACCTTTAAAGGTAAACAGAGTTCTGCATAAGTTTACCTTAGTTGGCATCTTATTTAGTTTATAAATTATGCCAGAGGGTAGCCATACTGATATGCTCTTTTTATAATACTATTAAGAGCACAAGTGTGTGAGCATAAAAATTTACTCGTAAATAAATAAGTAAATTTTAAAAATAATTTTTTTTTTATTGGTGCATGTTGGGAATAAGTAAATAACTTATTTTGACAAAAGAGTTACTTTTCAAACGAAGTTGTAAAAAGTAATATATCTAAACATATTTTAAAACAAAAAGTAACTTTTACATTTTTTAAGCTTGGCTAAACGTGTCATGCTGCACATGCACACTCATCTCCATGTATATGCACTATAGAGTGCAGATTAATTGCTGCATTCTGCTGGATGTTGATGTCAGGAACTTTGTGCGTATTGTTATGCATTGAAGTGATGTTACAACAGTCACTTCTTAAATGGTTATCTATAATTATGCTTGAGATAGAAAATTTTAAGGATGCTATTGGAATTATTGATCAAATATTAAAAATAACCTGGAAAATAAGAAGATGAAAAGGATTTCATAGCCTGTAGTATAATAGGGTACGTTGCTTATGATAAAACATAGAGAAGGAACTCTATTATTTTATGAACCAAGTAATTAAGGCAAAACTTCATCTAGCCCATGTCTTACGATCATGCTAGATGACCTGATTGTTATTATTATTATTAGCAATTATGATTTTAAAATGTGTGAAGTCCAGACACACGCTACTTACTGTAGTCTGACTATACTGGAAATTTGTAACAGGGAGAGAAACCACGTATTGCGGACTTTGTTCACGGTTCAGATGGATTAGGTAACACATATTTACCTCCCTCCAAGTCAAAGAAATCTGAGAAAACTGCATCCGAGTTTTTGGTCGATAAAGTTTCTGAATATCCTGGTGAAGTCTCTATACTTGCTTTGGGACCTCTGACGAATTTGGCACTAGTAAGTCATGTTTGTTCTATTGCTTTTTACTTGGAAAATTCCCCATGTTTGGGGTTCACTATGTTGTACCTGTTCAATGTTTACATTCTTTTGTGATTTAGGCTGTAAAGAGAGACTCGTCTTTTGCAAGCAAGGTCAAGAGAGTGGTGATACTTGGTGGAGCTTTCTTTGCATTGGGAAATGTTAATCCTGCTGCTGAAGCAAATGTATGTAGTTGGTTCTCTGTCTCCTGTTCCCTTAGCAATTTCTATTTTGAGATATTTGTCTAAACTTTCGTGTTCATATAGGGATTTATTTTACGTTTGTTTGAATAATTAAATCATGAGAATGTGAACCAGTTTGCTCTTCTGCATGACTATGAGTTTGGTCGTGTCAAATGAAGCTGCAGTCTGCTTTAGTGCAAAGATTTACTCCAGCATTTCTGTAGGGCAATGCCTTTAATTTTTAACTTCTTTCACTTGAAGATCTATGGGGACCCAGAAGCAGCAGATATTGTGTTCACTTCCGGGGCAAATATTGATGTTGTTGGAATAAATATTACCACACAAGTCAAGTTTACAGGTTAATCTCTTCCTGATTTTCCCAAATTTCTAGTTCAACTCCTTTTAAACAGTTCCGTTTAACTCATTTAACCCATCTTCTGGTTTTCAGACGCGGACCTAGATGAATTAAGGCAGTCAAAAGGCAGGCATGCTCAGTTAATATGTGATATGTGCAAATTTTACCGGGACTGGCACGTGAAATCTGATGGCGTCTATGGTAACTTGACTTGCACACTCTGCCTTGTTCCTATCATCTAATCTTCAGTGGTCTTTATTCTTGTTTCACTTTCTGGTGACTTTGTTTATGTTATGCCTTGGTTTTACGTCACTCAGGAATTTTTCTTCACGATCCTGTTAGTTTTGTGCTTCTTGTCCGCCCTGATCTCTTCACATTCAAGAAAGGAGTTGTAAGAGTTGAGACACAGGGCATTTGTGTGGGCCATACGCTGATGGACCAAGGACTAAAGAAGTATGTTCTGAACATTTTATCAGTGCACATTTTTTTCACTTGCTGCAATGATCTAATTGTGTCAAAATGATTCAATGCAGTTGGAATTCAAGCAACCCAAGGTCAACCTTTTCACCTGTATCAGAAGCATGGACAGTTAACGTGGAAGAAGTTTTGGAATTCAAGCAACCCATGGTCAGACTTTTCACCTGTTTCAGTAGCATGGACAGTTAACGTGGAAGAAGTCGTAAATTACATTAAGAAAATGTTAATGAAACAGTGATTCCTAAGATATTGGTTGCTTTATATCTTAAAACTATTGGGCTGAACTATCATGTAATTCATCATACATTTGTAAACTCATTCTTCCAATTTCTTCATGGAATGAATACTTGAAGATGTGATACGAATATTAACATTGCATCAAGTTCATTTTATTACGGTGTCGTGTACCCTTCCAGAATCTCAGATGCCAATTGCAAGAGCACTTCGACCTGCTCGTTAGGGAAAGTGTAACACGTTGCATACATTTTCGTGCTTATAGAGTGTACATTTTTATTTTTTTTGGCGTAGATAGTTTTTCTTTTCTATTTTCTAAAATACAGGTTCTGTGTGAGTCAGTCGATGCTGGCTATGGTACCCTATAACCAGGTTAGGGATGCCAAGATTGAACAATATAACACGTTTTGACACTCCTATGCAGGCACAAGGTGCTGATGGGCATTGATCCATTTGTTCGGAGAGAAATATCTTCTCATGATATTCATATTTGGTAAAATTAAGTCTGAAGGATAAGTCACAAGACCATAGTTTTAGCACATTTTAGCTCCATTCATTTAATACCCTTTTGGTATATTCGATAAGATAGGCACCATTCTAGTAAAGGAGAATCACAGTTAGGTTTCGATTTTTTTTGTTCTGGACGAACAAGCCTCTCATCGTGTTGATCTTTGGTAAAATCAAGTCCACCCTGATTACATACTACAGTAGTTTTCTTGTGATTATGTCTGTACTGTTTGATCATTCATTCTTGAACTTTTTAAGTAATTAAGCCCACCTCATCATCTTCAGTGTATTTGGGGTGGCAGACTGTATGTTTAGGTCTCTGTTCATAAAATATGGGCCTGCCCCTATGAGATACACACTAAATTGTCCATGTTGCACCAGAGGCTTCCAATGGTGCACATTTCATTAAGTACACTCTTTTTAGCTTCAGGAAAATAAAACTAAAATTTTGTTCATTGTACTGTCCAATATAATTTAAGAATCTTTACAAACACTAGGATTCAGATATAAACGTGTTATTTGTTTTCTATTACACACACACTATCGCCGCACTCTATTTAAATGTTTTAGAGTGTACATTTTATCTCACATTTTGTATAATCCACAACTATGACAAATTTATTCTCTCTCACATTATGTAAGACCCCCAACTTATAAACACTAAAAGTAAGGATTATAAGCAAAAATCACCAAATAGGAAAACTGAACTGAAATTGTCTTTTTGAAACCATTTTTAAATTTGTTACCGCATGGACCCTATTGAATTAAACCCTAATTCTATTCAATCGAAAGCAATCAATTCGAAAAAAATAATCATTAATATTCAAGAACACGCAAAATTTATAAATGTTTGCTTCAATGTCAAAATAGGCTCTCTTTCACCGCTGCTGTAATTTACTATGATAAAAAAATACTTTAGAAGATAACAATAATTAAGTTCCACAACTTAACAGACCCGTTAATGAAACAATTTTGAACCAAGTTACACCATGGTTTGGTTTAAATTTTGATGTTTTAATTGGGGTAAACTTCAAATCTATTACCCTATTTGATAAGTCAATCAACCCATCATCATTCATACTTCATACACCTAATTTGGAATTCAAGCAACCCATGGTCAAACTTTTCACCTGTTTCAGTAGCATGGACAGTTAACGTGGAAGAAGTCGTAAATTACATTAAGAAAATGTTAATGAAACAGTGATTCCTAAGATATTGGTTGCTTTATATCTTAAAACTATTGGGCTGAACTATCGTGTAATTCATCCTACATTTGTAAACTCATTCTTCCAATTTCTTCATCGAATGAATACTTGAAGATGTGATACGAATATTAACATTGCATCAAGTTCATTTTATTACGGTGTCGTGTACCTTTCTAGAATCTCAAATGCCAATTGCAAGAGCACTTCGACCTGCTCGTTAGGGAAAGTGTAACACGTTGCATACATTTTCGTGCTTATAGGGTGTACATTTTTTTTTTTTTTTTGGCGTAGATAGTTTTTCTTTTCTATTTTCTAAAATACAGGTTCTGTGTGGGTCAGTCCATGCTGGCTATGGTACCCTATAACCAGGTTAGGGATGCCAAGATTGAACAATCTAACACGTTTTGACACTCGTATGCAAGCACAAGGTGCTGATGGGCATTGATCCATTTGTTCGGAGAGGAATATCTTCTCATGATATTCATATTTGGAAAAATTAAGTCTGAAGGATAGTCACAAGACCATAGTTTTAGCACATTTTAGCTCCATTCATTTAATACCCTTTTGGTATATTCGATAAGATAGACACCATTCTAGTAAAGGAGAATCAAAGTTAGGTTTCAATTTTTTTGGTCTGGACGAACAAGCCTTTCATCTAGAGATGTCAATCGAGTCGAGAGGCTCGTCGGCTCGGCCGCTTGGCTTGTACTGTTCATGCCCACGAGCCGCTCGAGCTCGAGCCGAGAGGACCGGTTCGTAGACGAGCCGAGCTCGGCTCGGCTCGTTAAGAGGTAAGCATTCGTGGGCTCGTGAAAAAACATTTAAAAAAAAAAATTTGACTAGCCGAGCCGGCTCGCGAGCTCGTGGGCCGAGCCGAGCTCACCCACGAGCAAACGAGCCATGAGCGGCTCGGCTCGTGAGCTCGTGGCTCGTTTCTACCCGAGCCGAGCTTGTGGCTTAAAGGGCCGAGCCGAGCTGACAACACTGTCTCATCGTGTTGATCTTTGGTAAAATCAAGTCCACCCCGATTACATACTAGCCGGCTCGGCCCATTGATAACACTGTCTCATCGTGATGATCTTTAGTAAATTTAAGTCCACCCTGATTACATACTACAGTAGTTTTCTTGTGATTATGTATGTACTGTTTGATCATTCCTTCTTGAACTTTTAAGTAATTAAGCCCACCTCATCTTCAGTGTATTTGGTGTGGCAGACTGTATGTTTAGGTCTCTGCTCATAAAATATGGGCCTGCCCCTATGAGATACACGCTAAATTGTCCATGTTGCACCAGAAGCTTCCAATGGTGCACATTTCATTAAGTACACTCTTTTTAGCTTCAGGAAAAAAAAAACTAAAATTTTGTTCATTGTACTGTCCCATATAATTTAAGAATCTTTACAAACACTATGATTCAGATATAAATGTGTTATTTGTTTTCTATTACACACACACTATCGCCGCACTCTATTTAAATGTTTTAGAGTGTACATTTTATCTCACATTTTGTATAATCCACAACTATGACAAGTTTATTCTCTCTCACATTATGTAAGACCCCCAACTTATAAATACTTAAAGTAAGGATTATAAACAAAAATCACCAAATAGGAAAATTGAATTGAAATTGTCTTTTTGAAACCATTGTTAAATTTGGTACCACGTGGACCCTATTGAGTAAACCCTAATTCTATTCAATCAAAAGCAATCAATTCGAAAAAAATAATAATTAATACTCAAGAACACGCAAAATTTATAAATGTTTGCTTCAATGTCAAAATAGGCTCTCTTTCGCCGCTGATGTAATTTACTATGATAAAAAATACTTTACAAGTGAACAATAATTAAGTTCCACAACTTAGCAGACCCGTTAATGAAACAATTTTGAACCAAGTTACACCATGGTTTGGTTTAAATTTTGATATTTTAATTGGGGTAAACGTCAAATCTATTACCCTATTTGATAAGTCAATCAACCCATCATCATTCATACTTCATACACCTAACCATCTCCACTCACAAACGTTGAAAGCCAAAAAGCTCCGCAGTATCATCAATTTAATTTGATTTTGTTGGTATTAAATTTTTATTTTGATATATATATGAACTAGTAACGTTGAAGAAAATCAAAAGGAAAAAAAATATACTAAGAAACTGATTTTGAAAACCAAATCAAATCGTTAAATTCGGTTTGGGGGTTTCTTTAATCCGTTTCAAATGATTTGATTTAAATACGTGTTTACATAACCGTCCAAATTAGGCCGTTTATACTTCCAATTAGAAACATTTATTACAACGAAATTCAAATAACTAAACTAATTTGATGATGATCGTTCAAGGGCTGTCGTTAGATAATTTGAGTATTTTTTTGATGCATTTTATTTTTTGAGTATATTTTTTGTAAAATGAAATGATTACTATTTACAAATAGAGATGTATTTACACGAATAAATCTGCAGGTATAGGAAATTTTGCACAAATTTTGCAAAATATGTGAAAAAACCTTGTACATGTAACATTTCTCATATTTACATTTATCTGTTAATCATTGATGTTGGTTGAATATTAAACTTTCAATGAAGATGTTAATCATTGAGGTACCATAATCACATGCTTTCTTGTCTCAAATTGAACTAAAAATCCACCATTAATCCACAATCATTACTCTATTTTCATAAAGTTGATTGGACACCAAATATTAAAGTAAAGAAACATTTCATGAGAAATGTTCTTTCAAAGGGCCCAAGAGATTTATAATCCTCATCAAAATTTTATGCTTTTAATGTCTAAGAGCATCTTCACTTCATTCTTGAATTGCAGTCCCCATGTAATTAGGTTAGATCAATTCTCGTGGGAACGATACTCGAAATTTTACAATTTCCACTTTATTACTTGTCAACGAACCGTACACTTGCGGTGATTTAAATTCGAAACATATTTTCGTGAACACATTACCAAACATTTATTACACAGAAATTCAAATAACTAAACTAATTTGATGATGATCGTTCAAGGGCTTTCGTTAGATAATTTGAGTATTTTTTAGATGCATTTTGTTTTTTGAGTATATTTTTTGCAAAATGAAATGATTACGATTTACAAATAGAGATGTATTTACACGAATAAATCTGCAGGTATAGGAAATTTTGCACAGATTTTGCAAAATCTGTGAAAAAACCTTGTCCTTGTAACATTTCTCATATTTACATTTCTATGTTAATCATTGATGTTGGTTGAATATTA